GAGAACAAAAATTTATTTCACCCTGTAAGAATGCTGAAGTGGTTTACATTTTTTGAAAGGGTTTCTTTTGCTGATGTTTAAGATACAACAACAAAAACACGGTTTCTTCACTTCATCTTTATAAATGAATTTAATGTACATTTAAAAATATTTAATAGGCTGGGCTTGGTGGCTCAGCCTGTAATCCCAGCATTTTGGAAAGCCGAAGCTAGTAGATAACCTGAGCCCGAGGGTTCGAGACCAACCCAGGCAGCTTGGCGAGACCTCCTCTCTACAATAAATAAAAAATGAGCCAAACATGGCAGCATGTGCCTGTAGTTCCAGCTACTTGGAAGGCTGAGGCAGAAGGCTCGCTGGAGTCCAGCAGGTTGACACTGGGTGGCCATGAGTGTGCCACTACACTCCAGCCTGAGTGACAGAGTGAGACTCCAACTCAAAAAGAAAAAATTAATAGCACAAAAGTTAAAATACCTTCCTTTATCAAACATTTTGAAGACTTTTTAAAACATTATTTCTTATATGCTCTGGTGTTTTGTTTTCTTTTTTCTTTTTTTTTTTTTTTTTGAGTTGGAGTCTCACTCTGTCGCCCAGACTGGAGTGCAGTGGCCGCTCCCGGCCACCACAACCTCAACCTGCTGGGCTCCAGCAATCCTTCCGCCTCAGCCTTCCAGGTAGCTGGAACTACAGGCGCGCACTACCACGCCCAGCTGATTTTTTGATTTGTTGTAGAGATGAGGTCTCGCCAAGTTGCCCAGGCGGGTCTCGAACCCGCGGGCTCAGGCCATCCACTCACCTCAGTTTCCCAAAGTCACAGGATTACAGGCTGAGCCACCGAGCCCGGCAGTGTTTTGTTTTCAATGTCACGCCAACAGTGAGGAATTCGTTGTAGTTTGCAAAAGAGGAAACTGAGCTATGAATTGCTTAAGTGGATTTCCTATGTGTATACACACACATAAACATATGTATGCTATGTTGTCTCTTATTACAAAGTAATAAGCCCATGTGAAAATACAGACAAAAAGAAGAAACTGGGAACAGAGCATGGTTCACGCCTGTAATTCCAACACTTTGGGAGGCCAAAGCAAGATTACCTGAGCCCAGTGGTTCAAGACCAGCCTGAGCAACTTGGCAAGACTTCATCTCTACAATAAAATTTAAAAATTAGGGCAACCCCCTTAGGTCCCCTCCCACTTTGGGAGCTTTTCTGTCCTCTCAATAAATCCTGCTTTCTAAAAATAAATAAATAAATAAAAATTAGCCAATCATGGTGGATCACACTGGCTACTTGGAAGGCTGAGGAGGAAGGGTCTCCTGAGTCCATCAGGTCGAGGCTGCAGTGGTCATGATCATGCCACTGCACTTTAGCCTGGGCAACAGAGTGAGACTCTGACTCAAAAAAAAAGAATTATTTCTAATGTCATTCAGAAAAAGATGATGTTAATCTTTTGATATATATCATTATAATCTTTATTCTAAATCTAATGCATTTCATACCAACCCACAGTTATGTCAAACACTGTAAGGGCAGATAGGATAAATGCTAAATTATTGTGATTTAACAGTTCAACCTTTTTTTTTTTTGAGTTGGGAATCTCACTATGTCTCCCAGACTGGAGTGCAGTGGCACACTCATGGCCACCCCAGCATCGGTCTGCTGGGCTCCCGTGATCCTTCCACTTCAGTCTTCCAAGTAGCCAGAACTACAGGTGCGTGCTACCATACCTGGCTAAGTTTTGGATTTATTGTAGAGATGAGATCTCACCAACTTGCCCAGGTTGGTCTTGAACCCATGGGCTCAGGCAATCAAGTCACCTTGGCCTCCCAAAGTGTTGGGATTACAGGCTGAGCTACCGAGCCCAGCCTAACCATTTTGAAAAAAAAAAAAAAATTAGTCCTCTTCCTCATATCACACAAAAATACATCTCATCTTTGAGGGTGACAAACATTTGACTGCATAAATAGGTTTATGTTTATATCCCAAAACATCATAAACAAAATTAAAAAACAATCGACAAAGACAAAAGCCTAATATTTTAAAGAGAATTCTAAACATTAAATCAGAATAAGAAAATAAGCAAAGGCTATAGACTGGCAATTAACAAGAGAAGAAATGCAAGATGTCAGTAAATATGAACAAGTGCCCAATCTTAGTAGTAATATAATACAATTTAAAATAATACCAAAAATAGCAAAGATAGTCAATTTTTTTGCCAATCACCTAGTACAACTTTTTTTAAATGATGCAGTATCATACACTAATATCAGAAATGACAACTGATACAAACTTTTAGAAAGGAGTTTGCTAATATGGCTCAAAAGATAAACCATCAATCTCCATCAAAGACTTTAAGAAAAAAAATAGAAAAGTTTGCAAATACGTATGTAGAAGGATCATTATATGTTTAATTAGAGAAAGATTTTCAAAATAAATATTCAGCAATAAAAAGATGATTGAATAAACTATGATACATCTGACAACTATTACAATTTATATTTTTAATTTTTTAATACTTTAATATAAAACCCAAATTTTCTTCAATGAGCCTGCACTATTATTTTAATTAGGAAAAAACATGATTCAAGAAATATAATTAGCCAAATCCATTATCTATCCTCAGGTCTGTGCTAGACTGTATAAAATGATTTATGTAAGAAGTGACACTAATGTTTATCAAGCATTTACTTTGAAAAGCTCATTGTGCTTGTGCTTTGCATATTTTATCTCATTCAGGCCTCATAACAGCTCTGCTATAGATACTGTCTGTAGTCAGCACTTTGGAATTTCAGTGCAACCGGATACACGATAGGCTTCTGAGAGTTAAAATTAAACATAATGAATCAGAAAGGAAATATGAAAAGTTACCTGAAAACAACGAACTACTGGGCCCAACAGACGAGATGTCTTGATACAGCTGAAAGGGTATGCAGGCCTGAGAATTAGGGGAGGGCAGAGAAAGAAAGATCACAGAGGCAAGTGTGGGCCGCATCCATACAAGAGCCTCAGCCAAAGCACTTCTAAAGTTTCTAGTTTCATTGACTGCTAGAGCTTTTCAAATTTTTGATAGCAGAAGAAGCCAGGCACAGACAGAGAAGGAACAAGATGTGACCAAGAGCATGCATTCTGGAGATGGCCATCTTGGAACATCTTGGGGTGCGCCATTCAGCGCTGGGGTCCTCCTCGCTCCTTGTTCTGAAGCCTGGGGATGCATCAGATTCTGTCCCGCTTTCAGGAAAGTCTACTGACAGGAAGAAAACTATTGCCCTCACAGACACCAGCATTCTGGTTTCAGTGAGAGGTTCCCTTTTCAGTGTAAAAGAATCCATAGTCATTCTGATTTTTTATACATAGTTGATTCTCATTATTCATGGTAGACATGTTCTGTAAACTTGCCCCAAGTACTGAATTACTGAGTACTGGACCATTGTTCCTAAGGAAATTAGTGTTAGGTTTCTGTGAGCCTCTGGTTACCACATTTTCATCAGTCAATCAATACACAACCTTATTTTGTGCGTGTTTCTGTTTAGAGACACCTTATTTAATAGATATTGTGGAGTTATAAACATTGAACTCTCAGACAATAGCACTATGACTCATGCCTGATTGTAGCTTATCTCACACATATATTTTTTCATCATAAGACACATCACAGTTTACTTTTCTTTTTTTTTTAACATATATATAATGTATTTTATTTTTAAAAATGTGGGGTGCAATTCAGGATTAGGTATACAAGTGGTCACTGTTCAGGTAAACTTTGGGCTTACCTTGGTCCTAACTTTGCCTGGTTTGAAATCAGTTACTTCTATTAATATTATGTGCCCCTCACCCCAGCAGTTTCCAGCTACTGCCAATCCCTTCTGCCTCAACCTTTCAAATAGCCGCAACTATAGGCACATGCTACCACGCCCAGTTATTTTTATATTTATTGTAGAGACAAGGTCTTGCCAAGTTGCCCGGGCTGGCCTCCAACCCGCGGGCTCAGGCAATCCACTTGCCTCAGCCTCCCAAAGTGCTGGGATTACACGCTGAGCCACTGAACCTGGCCCATCAATGGTTCTTAAGTTTTAGCATACATCCAGAAGGTCTGGTATAACACAGATCACTGAGCCCACCCCAAGCATTGCTAACTCAGTAGGCCTCGGGTAGATCTTGCATTTGTAACAAGTTTCCAGGTGATATTCATGCTGCTGGTCCAGGAACCTCACTTTGAGAAACTCTCCTTTATACTGCTATCCTATTAACATAACTCAAAGCTCAGAAGTGTTGAGTAACTTCCCCAAAGCTTCACATACCACTAGTAACTGGTACAAGAACAAGTTAATTCAGAACAAGATGTGGCTGAATTCATGATGAACTCTTTTCATTCTACTGTAATGACATTGGTGTAGATTTCATTCTACCATGGCATTTTAAGTGGTGGCTTTATTTTTAGGTTGGTCCACAACAGTCTAGTCAATCATAACAGAGTTGGACTTTAGAACTAAGAGCCCTGCTATGATTTGCAGGGCCCTTGGCAGGCAGGGCTAGAAGTACAAGAGGGAGCAGAGGAGGAAAAACGTTCCTCTCTTGCTTTGCTACAGAGTGATTCATACTTAATCACAGCTTGAGGTATCAGAATACAAAGGAATTATCATCATGTAAACTTAGTGGTAACTTTGGTTGGTCAGCAATAAAAAGTCGTGATTACACACACACACACACACACACACACACACACACAGAGGCATGGGGAATCTGATCATCTGATTATCTGTTATCTGAGTTTTAGCCAATGCATGACACACAGTAAGCTCTAAATAAGTGTTAGTAATATGGTCAAGATGGAAGGAGTGGCTGGGAGATGCTGTCAACAGCCTTAAAACGATTCATAGCTGAACTACAGTCAGACTCTTTAGAAAAATTAATCTTCATTTAAGGAAATGTTGGTAAGCTATCAGATCCACTAGTTGTGTGATATATCGTATCTTATCAAGAAAATTTTTACATCTTACTTTTGCAGTAGTATTCCATACTTCTGCTTACCTACATTTGGATTCAAGCACATTTTGCCACTGACCAATGATGCCGAAAGATTCAATGAAATTGTGAAGATTCAGAAAATTTCTGCTAATATTGACACTCCTGAAGGTGGATTTGATGCAATTATGCAAGCTGCCGTGTGTAAGGTATGCTGATGGGAGAAGCGTCCCACTCTGTTAGCATAAATTTCATCTCTTATTAACAAATCTTCTTTGAAAAGCTTAGCTAATTTTCTTTCTTTGAATCACTATATTTCTGTATTTGATACTTTTTTTAAAGCACAAAATTTATGCAACATTTTTCATTAAATCATGGTGACATAGGGACTGTTTTTATGCCTAATATTTAAATAATCTTTAAAAAATTGTGGTGTTGAGAAAATTTAGTTGAAACAATAGTCATATGTGCTTCATTTTCAAAGACCAAGATCAAATTAATTAGTTTTTGGATCAACCATGGTGAAAAAAATATCAAAGGGAGAAAATTAATGAAAAAATAAAAATGCCCTGAATCACTATACACCTACATCTGTGATCACCTATTGTTTTGAACCAAAAAAAAAGATGCATCAGAAGTTGTACTGCCCCTACAGCATTGTAGAAACACTCCTTGACCTCTGACAAGTATCCATGAAAATGATTCTCCTGTCTTTAGGCAACAGCCCTTCTTGGAAAACATCAGGAAATGAACAGAGCTGAAGCTCCTAGAAGTTGGGAGGGGCGAGGAATTAGAGAAGGAAGGAAAGGGATAAGGTAGGATGGAGCAGCCAGGATGAGTTTTTACCCAATTAGTTCCTGGACTAATACTAATTAGAGGGGAGAGCGCTGTTAGACACTGACAACAGACAATCTTAATTAGCAGGACATCGGGGCCATACTTTGATAAGCAATTCTTATCCTTATATTTGGATGACATCATTAGAAAAAGAAACATGTGCCTAAATGTTCAGTGACATTTTAATGAAACGGGTTTACTTTGAGTCCATTTGGTATTGCATTTTCACTAGCTTTGCTTCAGTTTGGATTTGGGATTATCAATGACCTTCCCCTCCTCCTCTCCTCATTTTTCTGGTGAATTGAAAGCTGGACAGTAAAAATAATTAACTATGTAAAAGTCAAGATCAACTGAATACTGATTGTAGTGGAGCTAATTTTTTCTGAAGCATAAATCATCTGAAAATGTTACCCAGGAGAAAGCAAATGTCACAGAATTTCATGTTTTTAATATATTAATATTATCAACTCACGATAGATAAAAGGGCTAACATAGATAGACTAGCAATATATTTTTTATAATCTAAATGTGTCCAAGCATAATTGATCTGCACACAATAAATGCCTGCTTCCCTCTAACATGACACAAATGTGTCTTTCTCACCGTAGGAAAAAATCGGCTGGCGAAATGATTCCCTCCACCTCCTGGTCTTTGTGAGTGATGCTGACTCTCATTTTGGAATGGACAGCAAATTAGCAGGCATCGTCATTCCTAACGACGGGCTCTGTCACTTGGACAGCAAGAATGAATACTCCATGTCAACTGTCTTGGTGTGTATCCTGCACTCTGTACTGTTTTCAGAAGGCGAATGAAGCAACCACTGGTGTAATATACATGGGATAACCCATACATGGTGAAAGCAGCATACATTTTCCAATTGAGATGAACAAATTGCCCCTCTCGAGTCTCATCATCATTGGAGGTTCCCATAGGAGCATAGGTGGGTGGTGGGAACATGTGGAAAGTTTGGATCTGCTGTAATACACATAGTTCCAGACCTCCAACTTCTCAAACAGCTCATTCTGTTCTCAACCATGGTAAGTATGTGATGGGGGTAGGGCACATGGGAGTTGCTGTGAATGGTAGTCCCTAATCACACCTTGTCTTAGTGGATCATGGGGCTCCATGGGAAACAACGAGCCAGGTACGATTCAGTTGGGGCTTATTTTCTGTCATTTAAAAAATGCTGGTGACATTCAAAAACAACAACAACAACAACACCTGACTTTTTTAAAGCCAGGTAAAATTTTCCGAGCTCTTTTGATATATATGGTCTCCTCCAATCCTCATCAGAATCCAATGTCTCCAACGGCTTTCTGTGAACAGACCGAGAGGCTGCCATGCTTGTGCACATGTTATTCCCTCTGCCTGAAATGTTCTTCCCTCCTGGGCTGCTGAGAAACTCTTCGTTATCTTTTAAAAGCCAACTCAATCATTACTGCCCCCCTCCATGAGCCCTCTTTGACCTCCACTAGGATCCCGAGCAATCGTCTTTCTCATCACTCTCATAACTGATGTCTTCTTGTACAGTTCTGTATAGAAATGTGTTTGCTTACATCTGTCTGTCTTCCTCTATTGTGCACTCCTCAGGGCCAGGACTGGTTTATTATCTCTGTGTCCTGACAGCACAGTGGTAGAACACAGTGGATCAAGGGGTCATATTTAGTGATTTATGAACTTAAGAGTTTTTAGAGAATAGTGTTCCAATTGATACAATTGATTTTAGAACTCTGGGAGAGTATCTCTCTCTCTCTCCTCTCACTCTCTTTCTCTCTCCTGCAAACACTTCCACAGCATTGCCATTTTAAGAAGTAAGTGAAATTCTCTTTATCTATTTTCCTAAGTGTTAAATGGAGAAAAGTATGACCTTCTCAGGTCACTGCTTTATTTATTTATTTATTTTTTTGAGTTGGAGTCTCACTCTGTCGCCCAGACTGGAGTGCAGTGGCCGCTCCTGGCCACTGCAGCCTCGACCTGCTGGGTTCCGGCAATCCTTCCACCTTAGCCTTCCAAGTAGCTGGAACTACAGGCACGTGCTACCACGCCTGGCTAATTTTTTTGATTTATTGT